TTTTATTATATTTTAAATAATTATTATTTAGCAGCTTTACAAAAATTATTACATGGCATGATAAAAATTACTATGTATAACATAGTAAAAACTGTGATAGTATAATTTTTACTGTACAACATAGTAAATTTTATTGTAATCGTTTTAAAATGTCCAACATTCTAAAGTAGAATTTGCTATGTAACTCATTCCACTGCATTGCTATTCAGTACATTAAAATTCACTATGTTCGAAACTAATTTCATACGATGTTTAAAGGTATACACGCCTATTGAGTTTTAAATTTTAGGTTATACTAGTGTAATCATTACGAAAAACATATTTTTTTCATTTATAAGGGTTAAAAATTGATACGTACAGACAAATAGTTTTGAATCGACTAATTATCCGTTAACACTGTGATCTACAACCCTTCGATTTTTAACATTATTGTGTATCATAAACAGTACACATTCCCACAACATGTACTTTATCCATGCTTGAGCAGACGTAATATACCGTGGTATAGTGGTTACGGAGCCTGATATGGGAGCCAAAGGATGGAGGTTCAATTACCGATCAATGCAGACCTTTTTAAAATAAAATGATTTTCAAAATACATGAATATCTAGAGTTCACAGTGGCTTAAGTGATAGAGCGCTTGCCCTCCGTCTAGAGGGCTCGGGTTCAAGACCCCGCTCCGTCACTTTTTCACGGGTACCTCTGTGGTTTTTTCCATACGTCCCAAAACTGTGGAACTTCTCGTCAGTATGGTGTAATGCTACCGTGCCATCTGAGAGTAAGGGAAACGGTGCCTGGCTCTGCGGTGTAATGCATACCGTGCCGTGGAGCAGTAAAAATCAACGGAGCCTCGAATTATTGATTCTCGAGTGTACAGTTAAGGACGATCTCCGGGTATAGTAGTTTTTAAGAATTAGCTGAAATTGAAATATGTATGAAATGAAAGTGTTATTTACACGTGCGCAAATATTCAACAGGTATTTCCTTACTAAATTGCGAACTATTCAGTTTTAAAGATTGTCGACTTAATAGTGCAGTATATCTGTAGCTATAATCTAACCGAAAAACAACGCACACTTTCGAGCATAACTTAACGAATTTTCGCAGTATTTTCCCCAAAAAATTTTATGTAATCAACAAAGTCCTTAGGAAAAAAATGAGTACAAGTCTTATAAGCCTTTCCATATTAATTATTGAGTAACAATAATTTTAATAACACCTCATCTGGCCTACGCCGAGAGAGAAGCAGACGCCCCAAGCAACTTGACAACACTGCAACATCCTGTTACTTATCTGAGTACAGAACAGTCAGACGACGGTCACGAAAAAAAGCTTAACTCAAACTTGCCCAAGTTAACTTGCATTTATAAGTAAATAAATAAAATAATAAATACGTGCTAATAAATAAATAACAATATGGCAAAAAAATTGTGTTGGTATTTTGTTAGTAGGGGTCATCCACTTCTATGATAAATCAATGTGCATGTACGATAATTTTTACTCTATTTTTGAAAATTAAATAATTTAATAGAACAGGATGCAAATGATAAAATTATCAAAATAATTTCGGTGAAATTTTTTAACTTAAAAATATTCAAGGAAGACATAAGTAGAAGCATTAATAGCAAAACGTTACTATGTGTAATTTGTTTAAGTATTGTATTTATGCTTGTGTCATAGTTTGATAAGCTATAGCGTTTTTAGTTGCTACTTTTTTCTTTACAAATCTACCGTTTTTTAAACTTCTTACTTTATTCGGCATTTCTGTTGCCCTATATACATAACCTGATTGTACATGTAAACATACCCTATCAAAAACTTCAATGCTGAATCAACATTGATTTTAGCGTTGAACCAACGCTGAACCAACGTTGATTCCATGAATGACAGAATACTGAAATCAGTCGTAATTTACATTGTTGATTTAACACTGATTCAACGTTGAATCAGCGTTGATTCAGCGTCGATCAAAACGTAAAATTAAATTACAAAAATTACAAAGTAGTAAAGTAACATTTGAGGCAGACATATTGACGCAAATGGAGGTACTGTCCGAATGGTAACACCAAAACAGGGGGGTTCAGTTATTTGAGGTTAAACTGTATTGAATACGCATTATATTTTTTTAAATTATTATTTTTTTATATTTTTTTTTATTATCAAATTAACGTTTAAATCAACACTGATTCAACGCTGATTTAATGTTGAATCGGTGTTCATTCAACGTTGAATCATTGTTGAATCAACAATGTAAATCACGATTGATTTTAGTGTTCCATCATTCATGGAATCAACGTTGATTCAACGTTGGTTCAGCGTTGATGTATCACTAAAATCAACGTTGATTCAGCATTGATTCAGCATTGAAGTTTTTGATTGGGTAAGCAGAAAGTCTCTATAGACTCATATATAGTATACATACAATATACTCGCCTCGCGGCACCTAATCATAACGGCCAGAGTACATATATAATAAGATCAGTGGCGAGTGGCGATATGTTGCAGTGTTGCCAAGTTTCTTATGTGTCTGTGCATCGTCTTCTCAGACAACGAAAAAGAGATTCTTAACTTACTTCAACTTTGATTGAGAACCACTGGTCTCAGAGATCGTTCTTAAATAATAACACGTGTACTAACCACCACACAACCCAAGGCGCTTACTGGCTACTTTGTTAATTAATAAAAGAATTAAAATACCACAAGCACCCATCACCACCTAACTGAAGGCGCTAACTGGCAGCCGCTTTGTTGATTAATAAAATAATCAACATACCACAAGTGCCAATCAACACACAACTCAAGGCGCTTACTGGAACCTTTATTAACTAATAAAATAAATAAAATAACACAGGTGCCAATCACCACACAACCCAAGGCGCTTACTGGATACTTCATTAACTAATTAAATAAATAAAATAACACAAACGCCAATCACCACACAACCCGGGGCGCTTACTGGCCGCTTGGTTAATTAATAAAATAATTAAATTAACACAAGCGCTAATCACCACACAACCCGAGGTGCCTACTGGTATCTTTATAATTTAATAAAGATTTAGATAACAACAAAAGCACTTTTTATAATGTACATTTGAAAGGAAGATGGAAAGGACTGGTAAGAGCATACGGGTCGAATGAGTTAAACTTAGTTAAATTTTCATCAAAATCATAACATATTTATTTGCTGACATTTTATCGTAAAATGAGATGATCGCACGTTTATCGGGTTAATGGTAACGACAGCCATTAATAGAGCCGACGTAGGAACAGACGCCAAAGAAAAAAAACACAATGTAGTGGGCAAAACAATGTAAGGCACAATTTAATTGAAAAAAAATAACGCAGCGCATTCGAACGCAACATACCATTGGCACACAGACGAAATCACTCCAATAGTGAAATAATAAACGCTCCATCACCGGTCATAATACACACCTGTGAAGCACAAGGCGGAAATACAACAATAAGCTAAAAGCGCAATACATGTGTATATATATANTCGCAAAGCTGGGAATCCCACTGTCCAACGACCCTATATTACCCTCTCGACTCTAAGCATTCAATCAGGAATCACCGATCCTCTCGAAGGTCTGAGCTGGGCAAACCTAACAGCTATAAAGGGAATCAAAAACTTAAGCCAACGGGACAGTCTCCAACGGGCAAGCATCAAGAACCAATCTCCCTATCTTAGATCACCCAAAACAACTGAGTCTGCAAAAAAAGGTGCTTTAGACACCAACGTCTTTTTTTAAGAAAAACTTCATATAAAAAACTATGTTGTTGTGAAAGAAGAGTACTAGAATATACTTAAAAAATGTTTTATACAAATTAATTTTTATCAAAACCTATCTGCTGTATACAATAAAATGTAATTGAATTAGCAGCATCAACTTTTATAACAATTGCTGGTTCCATACACATCAAATCCATCTCAATACGTGGATGTAATACAGTACAGTTATCACCCTAAGAGGTGTGTGGCTAGTCTCATAGTATAAATTTATATTATAAGCCCTACATCTACGTAAACGTGGATACATCTTTACTTACAGCGACATATTGATGATTTAGTGAAAATAGACATGGAGTTTACAATTTAGTAAGGCAATTTTTCTAAATACTTTGTTCTGTGCTGATGATTAGTATGTATTACAAAAACACTACAGAATTCTGGAGCATTTGTAATGAAAAGTGTTGCAACTAACCTGCACTTCAGGGGTGTTTATTGATTTTTCGATTTTATCAATACTGTCATACATTTTAAATCCAAAATCAAACATATCCGATAGGCTCTCAACATCAGTTACGTGAGTGGTATCGCAAGTATCTTGAATTGTCATATTTTCTATATTCTGATTATCTTGAAACTCCATTTTTCACCAAATACAAATAAAAATGTGAATTTAAAAATGTTAGTTCCTAATATTATGAAGCTGATAAAATTACAATTGCGGTACGAAGAAAACTACGGAAACTGAAATGATTCAATCAGCTACGTTTAGAAATTTTCGACCCTTTCCTACTACTATAAGGCCGTTCAAACCATAGACATATAAAAAATAGACTGCTAGTTCTTTTGTACGGTGCTAAAGAACAAGTAGAAAAAGACACAACATCGAACGTGTAAATCTGTCTCTCTTGCACGGTGCCAACGGTGGGGGCTAGGCTAGCTGATAAGCTGATGCGATTAGTGCTCGCGAAAGTATAGCATCCAAAGTAGCACGAAATTCAAACTAGCTATAAGGAGCAGAACGCAAAAACCCACATAACTTGACAGAATTTCTAGCATAATCTTACTAATATATAAAGCAAAGTCGCTAAAACCGTTGTAATCGCTAACCACGAAAACTACTGGACCGATTTTGTTAAAATTTTGCACACTGATTGACACTTCCTAGATCGTTTTAGTATAGTTTTTATCTTAAAAAATTTAATAACAATAGCAATAAATAAGCTCAAAGTTTTGCAAAAATACGCCAGCTTCTCACTTCAGTTCAGTAGGATCGAGGCTACCTACAACATAATTAAATAAGCGTGGTTATAATACGCCGGGGAGTCTCCAAATCTTCTGCAGGGGCCTACTGGCTGTTCATCGAGCTGCATTAAGAATGTAGATGATAGACGTGCAGCTGGGAAACCCGGTTACTGATGACACTCATCTCTGAAGGGCAAGTGACCCACGTCTACTTCCACCCTAAATCTCAAGGATTGACGAGTGTGACCAACAAAAAATTAGTCTACTCAACAAAGTCTCCGGAGGAATACCAGGAGACAATCTAGCCAGAGCATAGCCTGCTCCAACACTTAAGAGTTATGTGTTCGTACTACCATCCCGCTTGGTTCCGTCAGAGAATTTTTGGCTACAAATGAAAACCAGGGAAGACAGCCCTGAGCAGCACGAGCAGCCATAATGGCTCCCTTCTGAATCGTATCCCCCTACCGATTGATATTTTGTAATCACATATTTAATTCCATCTGTATTTACACTTGTAAAGTCACTTGGAATTCTACTTGGAATTCCACATGGGATTTTGGACTGGAAACTCCAAGTGTCAATCCAAGTGGCATTCCAAGTTAAATTACAAATGACCACTAAAGGTACATTTTTTTCTTTTTTAAAATAGTTGAAATTTCAAGCGGTTTAATGGCCTCAGTAGTTGTTATCATCCATATAGTAACACCAAAGCAAAGGGGTTCAAGTCATTTCAAAAAAATTTGAACGAAAAATAAAAAAATCTATTTTTTCGAAATCTGAGAACAAATACTTCAACCCCTCTGATTTGGTGTTACTATATGGATGATAACATCTAACATGGCCATTTTACTGCTTGAAATTTCACTTTTAACTATTTAAAAAAAGGAAAAAATGTATCTTCAGTGGTCATTTGTAATTCCACTTGGAATGCCACTTGGATTGACTCTTGGAGTTTCCAATCCAAAATCCCATGTGGTATTCCAAGTGAAATTCCAAGTAGAATTCCAACTCATTCCAAGTGATTTTACAAGTGTAAATACAGATGAAACTACATATGTGATCACAAAATATCAATCAGTAGGTCCCCAACGGCCTACTTACTTTTTTCCGACTATCGATGAGCGGTTGGTTATCCGGAGAACGACTCCAACATAAGATATTCTTTGGTCAGCGGCGTACCTCCCTCCATCACAGTCTCCATACATAGAAACTTCGAGGGTAAGAGTCAATTAAGCTACCCGCAGCCAGCTCTTCATCATCAGGAATAATAATAAGGAATAGCTGGAAGTTTCACCACTGGCCCTTTTTAGGGCCATTATAAATATTCACGTTCCCTACTTAACCATCAATCTCATCGGTTCTTTTAAGGACCACCTAAGTTTAAACTACCTAGCGAACAAATACACTAACATTTCCGGAAGGGATTTTTCGACTAAAAGACTAAATCAACTAAAGACGGCCACTATTAAACCAAGTCAGTCATTCACTGGCAGTCATCACGAGCGGAGTTGTTTTTCGCAAAGCTGGGAATCCCACTGTCCAACGACCCTATATTACCCTCTCGACTCTAAGCATTCAATCAGGAATCACCGATCCTCTCGAAGGTCTGAGCTGGGCAAACCTAACAGCTATAAAGGGAATCAAAAACTTAAGCCAACGGGACAGTCTCCAACGGGCAAGCATCAAGAACCAATCTCCCTATCTTAGATCACCCAAAACAACTGAGTCTGCAAAAAAAGGTGCTTTAGACACCAACGTCTTCGACGTTATACCGGGAGACGTTGGGAAAAATCTCTACAACTAGCTCCGAAGCTTCGGACTTTGTAATTTTTTTCCTGATCAGTCTAGGGCTTCACAACAAATATATAAGAACTTAACAAAGTTGACAAAAAACAGCCTCTAGGGGTCACAAGTCTTAAGCATGCCAAAAGTCACAAGAGAGTGAATTGGAAGAAAAACTTCAAATGTATCTAATAAATACAATTTCAGACGTCAAGAAACCAACGCAGAAAATTTATCGAGATTGGAACAGCAGCATCAAAATCGACAAATAAAGAATTCATTACGTGGGAGATCAGCTTTTTATTGTGTACCCTGACAGTAATCTCTCAAATCTTTAAAGATCTAAATTAAGTTTTTTAAATAAGTAAAAAATATATTTGTGTTTTTGAGGCAATAAAAAATGTAAAGATTAAGCTCCAGGACTTTGTTGCTCTGGTGATAAAGTTGTGAGATGAGAGAAAAAAAGGTTTTTTAATTTATATTTTTTGGGAGTTTAAAATCTTAACAGCTTTAAAAAATAGCCCTTTTCGTAAATTATACGGGAGAAACTGCAAATCAACGGCTTTTTATGGCCAACAACCATTTTATGGCATAAGGAACGCACTGTACTTTTTAGCATACTTACATTTTTTTTTAATTTTTACAGTTTATTATTTGACCAAATAAACTGTATGGATTCCAAATAAACATGTTTTTAATCAGAAGATTTTTGTTCTGATAAACCTCAGGAGTAGGGGTAAATGATCCAATTACTGTACAGGCACCAATTACTGCGCACTCGACGGTAACTAAAAATAAGAAAAACAGACTGAAAAATTTGGGTGCTTGGATATTGTAACACGTACGGACATTAATAACGTTCAATCCCGAATCATACTTTACATCATGACATTTGTAATTGTTTAACTGAGTGACTCTAAACGAATCTAACCTACAAAATTTTGTAGCCGTGCGTAGTGCAGGGATGGCCGTGTCATTTATGTCATGTCATAAATTGAATTTATGTCATGTCATAAATTGAATTTATGACGTGTTAAAAATATTCAATTAATGACATTTTATGTCTTTATGACGGCTCCAGGAACTCCGCGAATGACTTTCGAATTGGGACATGAAAAAAATACCCAAAATTGCGGAATCGTTAGCAACGTTGTCAATCACTTTGCAAAAAATTTTCGGATCTCCCGGTTGTCTATAAAAAAATAAAAACTAAATGGTCCAGCGAGAGTCCGGATAAGTACGTTGTCTGGCTCAAATACTCTATATACGGCTATAAAACTTACTTTAGTCGTTTGCAATTTAATTGTCGATGATGATTGTCTATTGCATTATTGTAAAACTAACAGAAAAACAATGTGAAATAATTATTTCAGTCATTGCGAATGAAATCTTCTCTGCAGCTATATATATGGCTATAGCGCTTTCGAGAGCAGACAGCTACCAAACTGGCGGAAAATTCAAATATGTCGCACAGTAGAACAACTTCTATTAATATCAAAATTTATAATTTAAAATAGATACTGAAAAAAAACTAACACATGAGTCATTACAAAAGAACCTTAAACTTATTATTTTTTTAAGTGAATTTCCAAAATGTGTTTTTACGTTATGCAATCATCTGCTTTACGTGATTGAAGTCGATTCGGTCTTATCAAGTTGAATTAAATACTAAAAAAACTCTGTTGCAGTATGATTTTGCAACAACTGTGCATTATTAATAGAACAAATTATTGTGATACAATAAGTATAAAACTATCATTTTGGCGTTTCAAAGTTGGTAACGTGAGTCAGAGCAAATATATATATATATATAGGTACATATATATATATTTATAGGTATACAGCTCGAGTCACTCTAAAGAGATGCGCTCGAATGGGAGAAGGGAGAACGAGCCTTATGTTCACATAAACTGTCATTTGCGGATTGCTTTGATTTACGCGAAATAAGTACCCCTGAGCACAAAGTCAGTTCAAATAATTATAATTATTGAAGCTCACAATTTGTTAGTGCGAGAGTGCAATTAAGAAGTTGAAGTTGTTCTACTGTACGACATATTTGAATTTTCTGCCAGTTTGGTAGCTGTCTGCTCTCGAGAGCGCTATAGCTATACACACACACACACACACACACACACACATATATATAGCCAATTATTCCTTTATAACTTATGTCCTCTGTGATAAATGTCAAGGTTCAAATAGAATATTCTTTGAAAACAAATAAACCAAACAAAATAACATTAAAATTATTTTTTTTACCCACACATATGATAGAAGATAAAAATAAAAAGAAAAAGGAAAAAACGAGCAGAAAGCAAACGATAAGAAGAGAAAATGGCTAATGAAAACGATGACGCCAATATGACCGTACCTGAAGCGCTGGTGGAGTCTCTCAGCGCCAACTTCTCATTTTAGCATGTAATCAAATCCATTCCTATATTTAATAAGAAAAATGTTCCAGTAAAAGATTATATACAAGATATTAAGAAAGGAGAAAGCGGGGTTGAAGATATTAAAAAAGATTTATATAAGAGGGTGATGTTACAAAATTTTCGAGAGGCGGCACGCATAAGCGAAAGTGGCCAAGAATTTAAAAATCTCCAGACATTTGTAACACATTATAAAAAAAGATATGCAACAGGTAAAACCGTTGCTTATTATTAAACTCAGCTGCAGAAAGTGCGCCAACGACAAGATCAATCGGTTGGTGAATATTATGATTATGTAAATCTACTGTTAAAC